CGGCACATAACAACAACAACAATTTATTACAACAATAAAAAATTTAATTCATTATAAAAAAATAGTGTTTGTCAGTAACCTTGATAAAAGGAATTCCAATCCTGTTGACAACAGCTGAGCCACCAATGTAGTAAGTTAGGAGAAGAATACACAGATGCTGTATGAGCCACCCTACTTCATTCCTTGCTTGTTGCTAAGTACTCTCCCTTGTGTCCTTAAATAGCTCCAGTATGAGTTCATTGTTTAGACTGAAGAGACCTCATACAGTTGGTGGGTGCTTATCTGAAATAACACCTGAAAGCTCTGCTAAATGAAAAGTTGTGGCAGGCTGGCTCTCAGGAAATGTGGATAAAGGAAGTAAATGGCATGAATTCCAGAGACTATATTTCTTTCTCAAGGTGAGCTTGATATTTCTTTGTTGGATGCCTCAAAATGTGCCTGCTGAATCAGGAGCTCAACTCTTGATGGTTCTTCGGTGCCTGAGACCGCTGAGGATATTCAAACTGGTGCCCCAGATGAGGAAAGTTGTTCGGGAACTTTTCAGTGGCTTCAAGGAAATTTTTTTGGTATGTTACAGTTACCTTTTGCTTCCAGTTCATGAAGACACACCTCTGTAATGTAACTAATGAGTGGCTAAGGTGAGTCTTGCTTGTCAAGGTAAGTCTACAATAATGTTTATTGTCAGAGGTTGTCAGAGATTATAAAGCACCAACAAAACACATGCTTTCAAGACTTAACCCATGAAGGCTTCTGGCTTATAATATATTTAATTCAATGAATATTTTTCATAAACTAGAGAGAAAGCGTTCTGTCTGGAAAGCACAATGAAAGGAGAATCCAAAGAGATAATACCTGCTGACTCTTTCATTCCTGACTTTTCATCCTAATTTCTATTCAGAGTTCTAGCACCATCTCCTTCACAAATGTGACTAGGAATTAATGACTTTGGGCACATATTCTCATTTTATGTGCCCCCTAATGCGCATAGCATAGAAATTGGCTCTAGACCTTTGGAGTGTTAACATAAAATAGCTTTAAAGTGTAGCATGCAGCAGATATACCCTACTCAAAATCCACTCAATAAATAAGAATGAATACTTAGAAATGTGATTTAGGGTCTTCCAGGAACAGGGCTGCAGATAAAAAGGTGAGTAAGACAGTCATTACTCCTGTCCTGTTACAGAAGTTTCTTTGCCTTACAAAGAAGTGATCAAAGGATTCTTTTTATTATTAATTAGTCCTTTTTGTGCAGGAAAAACATGAATTAATTTACATAAGTTTGTTTCATATCTTGCTTTCCATAAATACACCTAATGTAGAGAGTAGCTGTAGTTGCAGTGGGTTCTAAGATATTTTAAAGACAGCTTGTGATGTTACTAGAAGCATGGAATTGCTAAAATTAAAAAAGAAAAAAAGTGCTTAAAGTTTCTTCTTTTCTTTTAGCTAAATAGATAAAATTCTGACTTTTCCTGCAATTGTAATTGAAGGACTATCACATGAGTGAATGTACACAAATCTTTGGAAAATAGATTTTAGAAGACAATCCATTTGTACCTCTCTACCAATTATGTTTCTGTGTAATTTTAGTATAAAACCAAACCAAACTTATGCCGTGGAGGGATTCGACTCAAAGCAACCCCTCCTTGGGTTTTTCCCAGGCGGTCTGGTGGCATAGTGCCTAAAGCATTTGACTGCTAACCAGAAGGCTGGCAGTTCAAACCCACCAGCCACTCCTCGGAAGGAGGATGGGCCAATCTACTTCCTAGTGATACTGCCTCGGAAACCCAAGGAGGGGTCGCTATGAGTTGGGATAGCTCAAGGGTAGTGAGTTAGTTCATCTCTACGGAAATGGATTGCCCTGTCTTCGTTCCAAGGAGTGGCTGGTGGGTTTGAACCGCCAGCCTTCTGGTTAGCAGTCAAATGCCTCAGACACTATGCTACCAAAGATCCTAATTTTAGTATGCATAAGGTATATGTTAGATTATTCAAATGGTACAGTCTGATGATTTATTCAGTGATTTTATTCTTTGCCACTTTTTGTAACTGACGCTAGTCAGCCAGCAGAGGGCGCACGAGTAAGTTAACATTTATTTTCAGACCTGAATGATCTCAAGTTGTCTGGACACAACACACTTTCTTACACTAACAGAAAGCAGGAAGGTTCGGCAATCTATTTCTGTAGGATACTGCCTCAGAAACCCAAGGAGGGGTCGTTATGAGTCAGATCTGACTCCACGGCAATGTGTTGTTGTTTAACAGAAAGCATACTGACAAGAAAGCAATGCCACTCTACCTCTGATCTATGCTATACTAATAGTGATATGAGCCTATTTTGAGAAAAATATTATTGAAGTATTGTTATTTGGTTCCATTGAGTAAAACATAGCAAAGTGTTGATTTTTAAATCAGAAAAAACCCAAGTCATTTCTAAGCTGTCTTGGCCCATTGCCTTACATGAAAGTCATATGTTTTTATTTCAAAAATTCAAAACCCATGATTAATCTCCTTAATATGACATATCATTAAGGCTAACTGAACTACATGTGGTGGAGAAGTTCAACGATATCTTGAAAAGACCATGAATTTCATTCAATGTTGCCTAAAAAGCTATGTTCATATCACTGTTCAACCTGAATCTATGGTTTTGTTTTTAACAAGATGTTTAATGTTTCATCAATTTATTTCAGGTCTCCATCCTTTTGTTGACATTAATGCTTGTTTTTGCAAGCTTTGGAGTTCAACTTTTTGCTGGAAAATTGGCAAAGTGCAATGATCCCAACATTATTAGAAGGGTAAGACAGTTCTTTCTGTCTTTTGGAATAAAAATTCAGGAACCATTAACTACTGGGGTTCATTTGAAGACCCCCTTGACAAAGCCTTCTCATAAACCCTTTTTTTGTTCTAAGCATGCAGTATGCCTCTTCTGAATAGCAAAGGTTTATAAGGCACATCACAGAGAAATCTACAGTTCCTTCCTATTCCAGCGTCAATCCACTGTTGATATCTTCACCATAGTCACTAAAGATCCCAGATATTTATAGCTATGAGCTTCAGAAATGCTCCCTTTATGTCTTTCCTAACCTAACCCTACCTCTGTTGTCACTCAAGACTCAAATCAGTAGTAAGCAACCCTTGGCAAAAATGTACAAAGGCAAAATTTGTCTTTCACACCCTTTCCTCACTCTTTTATTACTTCTCCATTCTCAACGTTCTTCTTGTTAGGAAACAAATGCCCATCCATAGGCTCCTAGCCACCCAGAATCTCCCCCATTATAATTAACAAGGACCTCAGCAGAGGCCTAAGCTTGAAAACTTTCACTGTGGCCGTTCTCTTTATATTTCTCCAGTCAATATTAGTAAGAAGATGTTAGCTGCAATGCAATATTTAAGTGGCTGAACACAATGAAATTTATGTATTATATCTTGAATGGGTCAGACAGCTGTCCTCTAAATGGCCACCCAGGGACTCAGTTTCTTTCCTTCTTGTGACCCCAGCCTTCATCATGTCTTCAAAGTCATCTCTGTTGCGTTGGCAGATGGAACCATCCCTGTCTTGGAGGACTATGGGCTAAGCCTAGAAGTGATATACCTTGCTTCTACCCACATTCCACTGGATAGAGCATGGCCTCACCATACTGGGTGGGGGTTGGGGAATGTAGTTTAGTGCTGTGCTCTAGGAAAAAGGGGAAACAGCTTGGTTAGTAAGTAGCCAATCTCTGCCACATCACTCAGTGTCCCATTCCCTATGAATCTTGCCTTACATTACAAGTAGATTAACGAAGTGAACCAAACATTGCTGGTGTATAAACTAGGTAATGTATTTTCTCTTCCTCCCAAGTAAACTAATGCCTTAAATCAAGTAAAATGCATGTCCACAGAAAGTCTAATAGAGCTGAACTACAGTATTACATATACCCAGCAAATATGGTGCCTATATTGGGAGCTCTGGTAGCATAGTGCCTAAGGCACTTGACTGCTAAACAGAAGGCTGGCGGTTCAAACCCACCAGCCACTCCTCGGAAGGAAGGTTGGGCAATCCTACTTCCATAGTGATACTGCCTCAGAAACCCAAGGAGGGGTCGCTATGAGTCGGGGCTGACTCAACGGCAAATAACAACAATTTGTATGTAGACCAAGAGACTGTCATTCAAACAGAACAAGGGGGTACTGCTGATACTGTTTGAAATCAGAAACAGTGTGTGACAGGGTTGTATCCTTTGACCATACATATTCAATCTGTATGCCCAGTAAATTATCTGAGAAGCTGGACTATATGAAGAAGAACAGCATCAGGAGGTGGACTGATGAACAACCTGTGATATGCGGATGATACAACCTTGCTTCCTGAAAGTGAAGATGGCTTGAAGCACTTACTGATGAAGATCAAAGAATATAGTCTCCAGTATGAATTACACCTCGACATAAAGAAAACAAAAACCTTCACAACTAGGCAATAAATGGAGAAAAGATTGAAGTTGTCAGGGGTTTAGTTTTACTTGGATCTATATTCAATACCCATGGAAGCAGTAGTCAAGAAACCAGATGTCCTATGGCATTGGGTAAATCTGCTGCAAAGACCTCTTTAAAGTGTTAAGAAGCAAAGATGTCACTTTGAAGACTAAAGTGAGCTCTGGTAGCGTAGTGCCTAAGGCACTTGACTGCTAACCAGAAGGCTGGCGGTTTAAACCCACCAGCCACTCCTCGGAAGGAAGATGGGGCAATCTACTTCCGTAGTGATACTGCCTTGGAAACCCAAGGAGGGGTCGCTAGGAGTCGGGTCCGACTCGACGGCACATAACAACAATGACAACAACCCAAACCATGGTATTTTCAATCACCTCATATGCATGTGAAAGCTGGACAATGAATAAGGAAGACTCAAGAAGAGTTGATGCTTTTGAGTTGGGGTGTTGACAAAGAATACTGAAAATACCATGGACTGCCAGAAGAACGAACAAATCTATCCTGAAAGAAATGTAGCCAGAATGCTTGTTAGAAGTGAGAACGACTAGCCTTTGCCTCATGTACTTTGGTCATGTTGTTAGAAGGGACCGTTCCCTGGAGAAAGATATAATGCTTGGTAAAGTAGTGGTCAGCAAAAAAGGGGAAGGCCCTCGATGAGATGGATTGACACAGTAGCTGCAACGACTCAAGCATAGCACAGTCTAGTAGCTGGACTCAAGCAGCTTAAGATACATTTTACATGAGCCTGAAAAGGCCTACATTTTTAAGCTTTTAACTCTACAAATTATTAGTTCTCTAATAGTTATAAATAACTTGTTGTTGTTATGTACCATCAAGTCTGACCTAACTCATAGAGACCCCTCCTCGGGTTGCCGAGGCAGTATCACTACGGAAGTAGATTGCCCAACCTTCCTTCCGAGGAGTGGCTGGTAGGTTTGAACCGCCAGCCTTCTGGTTAGCAGTCAAGTGCCTTAGGCACTATGCTACCAGAGCATATTACTAGACAACATTTTTTGTCCAAAAGTATACAATCAATTGAACTGACAATGAGGATTTAAGAAGTGGCAGAAAAGGAAAGACATTTAGGCTGGGCAGACCCTTATTCTATTTCACAAGTCACCACATAGGTTGCTTCTTCCTTCACCTGCCTTCCTGAAAGTTCCCAGGAACTCTGAGAAGACAGAATAAGAAACTTGGTATCAAGGTCACAGTGCACCAACTAAGTTAATGAATAAAGTCATAAAGAGCTGAGGTATGCAGTGCATAAGCCTCCAGAAGAAGAGCTATTTTAGATCCACACTGAAAAGAGGTCAGAAAGCAACAATAGCATTTTAACACGAACTCTGCTAGGAGTCCTGGATGACTTAGTATATTAATAATGGCCCAAGAGTTTTGTGATTTTGTGTTATTTACTCATACTCAGCCCAAGTTAGAGGTTGATGACTTATGTGGGGGACAGAGAGGGATGGGCAAACTTTCTAATGAAAGGTTAAGAAAACAGCCATCATAGGTACCATCCCCATCAATCAGAATAATTCAGAAGAAGTTGGCATAATGAGTAGTTATCTAAGTCTTTACATCAGGACTAGCTATTTTCAATACCCAATATTTTGACTAAGGCTAAGAATGTCACGGAGATGAATGGGATATCAGATCTATCCCAGAACTTAAGCCCAGCTTTTTTAAAGAATAGATGAACCCAGGGAACAGAGGAATTATATACACGGGTATTTGGGCTATAAGCCTCACATGCAATGGGAGTTTGAGTTGTAGGTGCTATGTTTTTCATCTCGATGATGTTATCTTCTTGGCATTTGTATTAGTACTTCCTCTGCTCCTTTTCTTGAAACTTAAAAAGCCGAAGCCTTGAACCACTATAAAAAGAGAGATTAGAGCCCAGAAACTAGTCCCCAAAGCCCTGTAAACAAACTCTAAGAATATATTTTGACAAATAGTTATTAAATATCAGTTATGTGGAAGGCACCAGGGTAGAGGATATGAATGCGGAGATCACTGTTGATGCTTTTGCAATGCTTTCTGTCCAATCAGAACATGTGTTTCATGTCCAAGCAATTGTAGTTTAAGGTCAGATGTTAAAAGAACAAAAGGGAAGCAGAAATAATGTGGGATCTGATTTTAGTTGTGAGAAACATTACTTCCAACTGGGTGTACTGTACCAGGAAGGCTTTATGGAGGAGGCGGGATTTGAGGTGAATGAACAGAAACAAATCTTCCAAGCAGAGAAAACAGGAAGAAAGACATAAAACATAAAACAGACAGGGAACAAAGCAAGGAGCAAAGGCTTTAGAGTCAGATTGTAATCCTACTGTAGTGGATGTGATTGTTGTATCTGGTTACTTCATCCTTCTGAACCCATTTCCTCTTCTATCATACTTCTTACACAGAGATATTTTGAAGATTAAGCAAGCTCCCTCATATAAAGTACCTACCCCAGCCTCATAGTGATGTTCACTTTCACTTTAGCAAAGAACTTTAAAAATAAGGCCAGAAAGGTAGGTTAGGGAGAGATCCTCAAAAACCTTGAATGTCAGACTAAGCAGTTTGGAATTCCTTTGATGAGAAATGAGAAGCCACTGAAGGTTTGTTGTAGAAGAATCACATACTTACGAATACTTTTAATATACAGATTTCCTGTCCCTGGTGCTACTGTTGTTGTTGTTAGGTGCCATCGAGTCACCTCCTACTCGTAGCGACCTCATGTACAGCAGAAGAAAACACTGCCCAGTCTTGTGCCATCCCCACAATCTTTGCTATACCTGAGCCCATCTTAGCAGCCACTGTGTCAATCCATCTCGTGAAGGGCCTTCCACTTTTTCATTGTCCCTTCACTTTCCCAAGCATGATCTCCTTCACCAGGGAATTGTCCCTTCTGACTACATGACCAAAGTAGGTGAGACAAAGTCTGGCCATTATCGCTTCAAAAGAGCATTCTGGCTGCCCTTCTTCTGGGACAGATTTGTTAGTTCTTTTAGCAGTCTGTGGTACTTTCAGCATTCTTCGCCAGCACCACAACTCAAAAGCATCAACTCTTCTTTGGTCCTTTTTCACTGCCCAGGTCTCACATGCATTAGAGGCAATTGAAAATCCCATGGTTTGTGTCAAGTGCACCTTAGTCTTCAAGGAAATACCTTTGCTCTTCAGCACTTGAAAGAGGTCCTTTGCAGCAGATTTGCCCAATGCTATACAATGTCTGATATGTTGACTGCTGCTTCCATTGGTGTTGATTGTATAACCAAGTAATATGAATTCTTTGACAACCTCAATCTTTTCTCCATTTATCGTGATGCTGCTTATTGGTCCTGTTGTGAGCATTTTTGTTTTCTTTATATCGAGGTGTAATCTATACTGTAGACTGTAGTCTTCAATCTTCATCAGTAAGTGTTTCAAGTCATCCTCACTTTCAATAAGCAAAGTTGTGTCATTTGCATGATGCAGGTTGTTAATGATTCTTCCTCCAATTCTTACTCCACGTTCTTCTTCCATATAGTCCAGCTTCTCAGATTATTTTTTCACCATACAGATTGAATAAGTATGGTGAAAGGATACAACCCTAACACACTCCTTCTTGATTTTAAACCATGCAGTATCTCCTTGTTCTATTTGAATAACAGCCTCCTGGTCTATGTACAAGTTCCTCGTGAGCACATTAAGTGTTCTGGAATTCCCTTTCTTCTCTATATTATCTATAATTTGTTGTTATCACACAATCGAATGCCTTTGCATAGTCAATAAAACACAAGTAAACATCTTTCTGGTACTCTTTGCTTTAAGCCAAGATCAATCTGACATCAGCAATGATATCCCTCATTCCATGACCTCTTCTGAATCCAACTTGCATTTTTGGAAGTTCTCTGTCAACATACTGCTGCAACCATTTTTGAATTATCTTCAGTAATATTTTACTTGCATGTGATATTAATGATATTGTTCGATAATTTCCACATTCTGTGGGATCACCTTTCTTTGAAATGGATACAAATATGGATCTTTTCTAGTCAGTTGGGCAGGTAGTTGTCTTCCAAATCTCTTGGCATAGCTGAGTGAGTACCTCTAGTGTGACATCCATTTGTTGAAACATCTCAATGGGTATCCCGTCAATTCCTGGAGTCTTGTTTTTCACCACTTCTCTCAGTGCAGCTTCGACTTCCTCCTTCAATACCATTGGTTCTTGATCATATGCCATGTCCTGAAGTAGATGAATAGCAACCAAATCTTTTTGGTACAGTGAGTCTATGTATTCCTTCCATTTTCTTTTGATGTTTCCTGCATCATAGCAGCCCCTCTTTGGTTTTCTGAGGCAATAT